AGTGTTTTAGTTGAGACTGAATCGTATGCCTTCCTCATGTCTTGGAATACCAACCATAGCTCTTTATTGTTCTCTTTTGCATCTTCTCTTAGCATTTCCAGAACATGAATTGCCTCTTCTGTCGAGCAACCAGGCAACCCTGTGTAATTCGGCTCTTTTAGTATTTCGTGCTTAACAACTATCTCTGCTACCCTCTTGGTTAGAATCTTTGTTACGCACTTTCTAAAGGTCTCGAGAAGGGTGATTGGCCTCACGTTGCATAGTTGGTAACCCCAATCTTTGCTTTTTGGGATAGAGTAGATCTGTACCAATTTCCACTTTGTGGGGATCTTGCTAGTTTTTAGATATGAGTTTGCAAATTTTCTAAACAACTCATGGACTGAGGTACTCGCATTTTTGATTAGGCAGTAACCGATTCCTATAGCCCCAGGTGCTGTTTGGTTCTTTGTTTTATTTACTGCAGCCAACCACTCCTCGAGAGTAATCTCTTCACCTAAGCTTTTATACACTCTTCTTTTATTTCTTTTAAGGGTGTATAGAATTCATCTTTAATGTTATTCTCTGTCCTGATCTTTCTCTCCTTAAACTGTCCTTCGAAATACTTGTGAGTCTTATCTAGAACTATATCTGGCTCGGTATGGAGTATATAATTCTTAGTATCTACCTCAAGTACTCTGTTAATTCTAATTTTGTTGATTGGCTTATCTAGTATACTTGCTAGCATTTTGCTTACATTGCCATCTATTCTTTCATATCAAGTGCTTATCACTTTACTTATTACCTCTCTCACCTGCTTGTCATCTTTAAGCCTTTCTTGCAATCTCATAGCTTTCAAACCATGCTTTGCTACTTGTACTCATCCAGTTAATATAGCCTTGTCAACATGCCTAATTTGCTCTATATTGATACCTTGTTCTGCATTTATTTTGTCTATTGTTTTATTTGTATCATCTACTCTAACCAGAAACGTTCTCGTATTTAGTGCCCTCTTGACTGACCATATTATCTTGCTGAGTACCACAATAGATTTGTGTAGAGCTGAGGTCTTGTGCTTGCGTTTCATATAGAAGATATCATTTGTCACTTTCTTTCTTGATATATTTTTGTTTGCTGCGTATCGAATTGCTTCTGATATAATATTCCATATTCTATCTATATTAGTGTCAAAACCTGTCTGTCGCAGCTTATCTAGCTTATAGTTTCCCTTTAAGAACTTGTCTAAATCTTTACGGTAATCCCGCCAATTTTTATCAGATGCTTTGTCATACTGAAAAATTGTTCTTACTATACCTTTCCTTCTTTTTTTTGCTTGGCTATGCATTCTTACTATATGCTTAAGTGATATGTCTACTCATACAATATTATGGTCACTCTCTGTAATTATATCTGCTTCTACAATTTCTGCTTGCTCGACACCTAACTGTAGCATTTCTGATACTCATATTTGGTCAATTCTTATACTTGTGCCTTGCTCTGACCATGTGTATCTTTTGAGCTCAGGATTGCACACCCTAAATGTATCACTGAAACCCTGGCTTATAAGCCATCTGTGTAATGGAAGAACTTTCAGTATACTGTTTTCGCTTTGGCTTACTTTGTCTAATTCTTTGTTTATTATATAGTTGAAATCACCCATTACAATAAAGTGTGATGTTGGATTTCTTTCCATATACTTGAATATGATTTTTTGCTATATCTTTCGTGCTTGTGCCTTGTCATTTGGTGGTATATATACTACAATTATACTAATTTTGGCACCCTTGAAAAAGA